TTTTTCTTTGGCTATGATCACACCTTTCTCAATCTGCATTATCTCAAATATCACTCCTAAACTCAACTGCATTATACTGGTGTTCATTCATGAGGTCAGTTTCATGTTATCATACTGTATAAAAAACGGACAATGTTTAAAATCTGGAGCTACTGCTATATACAAGAAAGTTGGCATGTTTTTGGATTTCGAGAGGAATGCAATTCTCTCCTGAGAAGAAAATATTCTTTTTTCTGACCACATTTCCAATCACAAAAGTCACACACCACTTTACATTGCTGTTTATCAAATGAACAGTCTCACAAATCGCAATGAATCCTTTAAATTTACTGTTCTTCCAATAGTCCATTAACTTTTATATCAGGACTTGCCTCACAAGCCATTCACATTATGCTGACTTCAGAGAATGTGAGAAGCCACAGATAAGAGGCAGCACATAAAGGCAAGAAAGGGTCAGATAAATAAGAGCCATAGGATTTGACTATAAATTCCAAAGCAATAGAGGTGGCAAACACATTCTGATAAGTGTTGCACTTTTCTATCAAAAACTTGCAGGCCCCACCGCCGGGGAGGGATAGCTCAGAGGTTTGAACATTGGCCTGCTAGACCCAGGGTTGTGAGTTCAATCCTTGAGGGGGCCACTTAGGGATCGGGGCAAAATCAGTACTTGGTCCTGCTAGTGAAGGCAGGGGGCTGGACTTGATGACCTTTCAAGGTCCCTTCCAGTTCTAGGAGATAGGATATCTCCATTTAAAAAAAAAAAATACGAAAAAGAAAATATCCTTTAATGAACTTAGTACTAGACTTGGTATCCTCTGTTAACTATTTATTAGGGACTGTTATTGTGGAATATTATTTATATAATAAGAGAAAGATGAACCCCAAAAGGGCACTGGTCCAGCTTTCACTGTTATCCATTCAGAATCCCCAGTTCTCTCCCTGGGACAGATTGTGGCATACCACCTCCTTCAATTCACACATGGGTCACTCCTCTTTTTCAAAGAAGGCTGAACAGCACTGTCCCTTCGCCCACCCCAGTCAAGTCCTCTCCACGTGACTAACATCCTTGCTGGGGGAGTGGGTGAAAATTGTGGGCTAAACAGACAAGCCAGGGCCGCAGGGAATGCACATCATTCTTTCTCCAGCCCTGTAGAACTAAGCCAGAAAAGTTAATACTGCAGCAGGCTGTACTACCCCTTCCATGTAACAACCATACCTCTTAGGATCCATGGTGTGCTCCATGGCCAGTATAAAGTCTCTGTTAGTATGATGTTCTATGGAGACATGCTGCCAGAGAGCTTTATCCCTCAGACAGCAGAAGCAGCAGGCCCTCTGAAAACCAAAGCTTTTATGGTGTCTCTGGCCCTCCCACAGATCCTTGGGGAAAGCTCCAGGTGTGGGGCAGGCCTGATGGCCTCCACCCCTTTATGACCAGACAATTTTGGTAAATCCCTGCATAGATTTCCTCACATAACACTCCTCCCGACCCCTTTTCATACAGAGGGGACAATCTGGCCCTGGGTCCTTTACCTGGAAAAGCAAAATCAAAAGCAGAAAGCTACCAAAGGTCAATTTACAATTTAAGTTTGAAAGAAACTTTAAGGTTAACCCTGTTCCAGGCTTTGAGATCAGAAACTGCTCTAAATGTCAGAATCATCCAGCATATTAGTCAATCAGATCTATATTTGAACTACCTTAAAGTGTATAATCTGGTGGGGATTGTACCTGGATTAAAAATATCTAGTAATACAATCCCACACCTACCCTTCCTTGAAAACTGAAGCAGAAAACCTAGCAAACCTGGTTTCTAGGCCATAATCAGTGAGGTTATTGCACAAACAAAACAGGTCAAATTGATTCATAAATCCATTAAAAACAAAAGAAGAAAAAAAATCCACAGTTAGGAAATTATTCCCATTGACTTCAGTGGGCTTTGAATCAGGCCCCAGAAGAGGTCAATTAAGTAGTAAAAAAGATTATTTTCAAGCTCCTTAGCGAGTACTGCAAACAATGAAACACATACACATAAGCACACTTAGAATAACACCATCCTTTGAAAAGTAAGATCACATCAAAGAAATACATCCTGTCCTTGCAGTACACTTGTAAATTCAGTTTGTGATAATGGCTATTACACATACATAGGAAAGAGGAAAACAGCTTCTCAAACACTGAGTCAAAGCTTGATTTTATTTCAAAGGCTGGGTTGTTTTTTTTACAAGAGAAATATCTGAATTTCTAATTGTTTGGATTCTTTGCCCAAATAGTCTGAATCCTAACAGAATGAATTTAAATCATAATTCTAGGTGCAACTGTCTTATCTTAAACATCAATAATGAAACAACTTTAAAATGTAGGCAAGTCATAGTCCTTTAGTGCCATCATTCATATCTTTTAAAATTCATACACTTTGCCTTTACTTGGGTATACAGTTCCGACAACTGTTACCGCCATTTTAGGGCCTATTCCTGAATTCCACGGGGGTCTCTGGCTACAGTTCTGTTACAAGCAATAAGAGCTTTTGAACTCACGATTACACTACTGTGCCCAAATATATCAAGGTGGTGAGTGTTTTTCCAGAGGGGTTTCTTCTTTATTTTTAAAAAGTGCCTCTTCATTAGCCAGTTCTGAAGTAATACATTGTTTAGCAATCTTGCCATTATGATATTGAGTTTTTTCAACACTGTTTGACAGAAGAGCAGAGTGTTGTTTAATCCATTGTCTATATGTAAAGTGGGTTTCTATAAGAATGTGGTGTCAGTTATGTGATTTGTAGCACAGAGCTGATATTGAGCAAGTTTACAGTACCTTCAAGGACAATGAACTTACTTATATAGCATGGTTCTATGACACCAACATGCTTTGGACTAGACCAGTGTTTTGCAACGGAACAACTTTCTGAACTATATTTATGGACTATTATGTATGAACTGGATTTTTACATTTTAATTACAAGTGTGATCCATTTTGTGGCTACGTCTACATAGCCCTGCAGTTTGGATTATGGGGGTCTGAATTGCAGTGTGCTGTGGTGTAACTCGCCCATGCACATGTTGCTGGTGCGAACTAAAAAGGTACCTAGTTCACATTAATGTAGTCTTCTTTCAAGCCGGACTACATTCATGTGAATTATGTACCTTTTAGTTTGTGCCCACAGTGTCCACAAGGGAGAGTTACAGTGTAACACATAGTGTGCTCTGCAATCCCCCTAGTCTGAACTGTGGGGCTGTATAGACAAATCCTAAAAATGTGGAATCACAAGCAGGTATTAACACAAAACCTTTCTCCCTCTCTGCATAAACAGAAGCTGGATGACCTTCAGAGCTACGCTCAAAAAGAAATTAACAAAATTTGTTTAGAGATTTAGGGGCTGATCCTTTCCTCTTTTCTGTCAATGGCGTTTTGCTACCAACTTCAATGGGAGCAAATGGGAAAAAATATTATTTTTCTAGTAATACTTTTCACTAAATAGAAATTTTATTTAAAAAGAAATGGGCGTGTCCTTTGAGTTTTTCCAGTCTTCAGCACTATGAGCTAATGCTCCAGGTACTGTTGATGTCATTTTTTGTGACACGTATTCCCAGTTTCCCACAAACCAAACTCACCTACTCACAAAGAAGCAAATTCTTCCTTTCCCTAGCATTGTTCCAACTCCCATCCACTTCCTCACTTACTTCTCTCCCCAATGAACTCCTGAGTTTCTCCCCATATCACTGTTGTCTGTCTGATTATCTTCTTCCCTTCCTAATTAAGCACCCACCCAGCATTGTGCTAATCCTGATTGGACCCCATTCCCCCACTCTATTAGCATGTTCCCCATCCTGATTGGAGACCATTCTTCACTCTCACTCAGTTCAGCCACCCAAATTAATTTCCTACCTGCTTCCATATTTTCCACTGATCTATTTGCACCAGCGTGCTTTCCCTGCATTCTAGAAAACTAACACCAGATGCATCAATGCTTTTATGCACTGAGGGGACTGTGCCTTACAGAGCACAGTTCAAAGTTCTTTAGACAATAGACTGCTTCTCCTTTGACTTCAGTGGGATTTGGATCAGACCATATATTAGGATTTCTATAAAACATTTTCAAATGTAGAAACAGAAAAGATATACTGTGGTTATTGGAGAGTCATATAAGTAGATAGCTGTATAGATAGATATGTCCATATGTACTACATTTCCATAAAATATATGCACAGAAATACCTTTCTATCCAATTTTCCTAAGTATTTATATGGTCCCTATCATGAGAGTAAAAAATAGCTTTATCCTTTTTAAACCTTACCTTCTCTTTTACAAGAGAGCAGGCATCTCGGATTAAGTATAAATTTAAAAAAAATAGAAATAGGCAAGGGTTAAATTAAAGTAACTATACATTTAAGAGTTTACTATAAACAAAACATTTTTAAAAATTGGGCATAAAATATTTTAACCTTTGCCCTTTCCTAAAAACTAGGTACAAACTGAATATATTTTTTAAAAGATTAAACTAACAAGCTGTGTGCCTACCAGTACTTTGTTTACATGTTGCTTCTCATTCTCCCACCCTTTTTGTGAGTGTGTATGTGTCTTTTGAAATTGTAAGCAAAGGCTCTGATTTACTGTACAGTGATTAACACAAGGAATCTGGCCCTGATCTGGGAATTACTGTAATAAAAAATTATAATGAAGTATGCTGATACACTTTTATAATCAGCCCATTATACCACTCTATTCAGAATATTAAAGTAATCCGGAAGCACAAATTAGAGCAATACATGTAGGATTCATGTCCCACCTACATTTCCTCCCAAATTTTTCCTTCTATGAGCATAGGAGCAATATTTTTAAAATTCTAGGTCTTATATTTTATTACATTCACATCTATATTATAAAAAACAAACTATAAAATCGGTTTTCCCCACTCAAAGTTCAAGTGAATCTTAGTGGACCCTTGAGAATACATAAATGGAATATGTATACACGCAAATAAAATGAAAAATCTGTTCAAGTCCTACCATGGGCCATGCGATGGAACCAGTAGTATCCAAAGTCTACTCCTAGGAATGTCAAATACCATGTCCATGGTGAGTCCCACAGCAGTTCAAAGAGTCTGTAGTTATCCCACACATAGATGTAGGTAGTTAATTCGAGGCTTCTGGACACAACACTGAAATATACAACAAAACAGTTTTCTCAAAAACCTTTTGAATTAGGGTAATAGATTTGTTGTATTGCATATTTGTACTTTTCAGTCTGCAGCTTTTTTTTCTAACATATAAAGCCACTCGGCCAATCTTGCAGCCCTATTCTGGCAATATTACCATTGACTCCAATGCCACTATTGACTAAGGATTGTGAGCCAAGACTGAAAAAATAGCACAGTCCCATCCTGTTTAACCTTTTTTCCATTGCAACCTGAGGTCTTCTTGTGTTTTTTATTTCTTGGAAGATCTCCAGTCCCTTCTTGGCTTCAAATTACCTAAAGCCTTTTAGACAGTTTCTTTGACCTCATTTATTGTACACAGAGACGTCAAGGTATTCATGTGACTGGGAGAAACTCATTTTTAATCTACAAGTTAGCATCCTAAAAGTATTTCTACTAATTATTATTATTATTTGAATAATACCATGGCAAATCTGAACACACTGAATATTTTCATGATACATTTAACATAGCCAGATGAAGGACTGAGGATGAATAAGAAAGAATGTGCATGGCAAGAACAGAGTAGGAGGGGAAATGCTAGAAAGACTGATGGAAGGAGAAGTACTGCAGGACTGAAGGTTGGGGATAGAGAGAAAGGAGTGGGAAGTGCAAAGGAGAAAGTGAGGGAAAAGGAAGAATGTGACAAAAGTTGGCTGAAGAGTTCTTTTGTGTTGCTGGACAATGGCTAATTAAACTCCCAGACATTCCTGGCCTAACCCTCACTCAGTACTGAGTACAAAAGAGTTGGTGTGGTTGAAGAAAGCATAGTTTTGGGCTCAGGGGTTTCTAGGCCATGGTTCGGGTATTGGGAGTCAGACACAAGGTTACAGGAAAAGAAACTAGTGGCTAAAAGGGCCGAAGACTGTGTGTTGTAGCTGAAACTGCCTCTGCGAAACTTTGCTGCTGTCTTTCCCATTTTTGTTCAAAGCAATCAGGACTTGTGAATATATTGTTACACCTTTGCTGAGTGGTACCAGACTTTTGGACCTTATAGGTCAGTTTCTTAGCTGGAGAAAAAATCAGTGATGCAAAACCAGGGTATTTTTGGAGTAATTAATTTACAAAATGTACACAATTTCTGTTTCCTTGAACAGAGGTGGGGTCATCAACTGCACATAGGCAACTCCCTCTTGCAGAAACCTCAGTAAAAACACTATTACTCTGTCACGAAGCAACAGCTGTCTTGGACCTAGCTCTCTCCTGGAATCTCCCCTGCCTAACACATAGTTCCTTTTTCCTCCCTCAGTTCCCAGGCTTTATAACTGGGAAAACCTTTAGTGCCATGGCCAACAGCGGCACAGAAGTAAGGGTAGCAGTACTGCAACTCCCCACAATAACCTAGCGACCTGCCCACAACTCCTTTATGGGTCAGGACCCCTACAATTACAACACCGTGTTCAGATTCGAATAGCTGAAATCATGAAATTTACTATTTTTAAAATCCTATGACTGTGAAATTAATCAAAATGGACTGTGAATTTGGTAGGACCCTAATTATAATCATCAGCTGCCAAAACACACCTGCCCTTCACCTCTATCCCTGCAACAATTGTCCTGTTTTCTCACTTCAAAAAGTCTGCTCACCCTCACTTTGGCAGCTGGTAGATTGAGAATTTCACTGGAAGCAGCAATGGCAGGTGTACCTACCACTTTCAAAAACATTTTAGCTGTGCCCAGAAGCAGCAACAGATGCACCTGGAATATGTTTAACTTTCATGAGAGCCATGTAACAAATATTTCTAAAGATGATTTTATGTCGCAACCAGATTTTTGCAATTCACTTCATGAGGCATATGCAAGGTTTAGTATAAATTTTAATCACCTCCACAACAGGTCAGAAGGGAACTGATGCTATTCAAACACACACACAAAAGGTATTTCTTAACATCTTTTAAATGACCAGGAAATTTAAAACACCTCTTGCAACATACAGTATCGGTTATTACATACTGTTTTCTCACTTGATTCTTTGCCTTTTATTAACATATAATGCTTCTGCAGTACATCCAAAGATATGTGAACTGATACATTTCCTGCATTTTTGATCAACTTTCAGCATTTCCCCTTGAGTCCTTTTGTTCCATGAGCTGAGGCCAAGGTGTAAAAACTCAAGCTAACCTTGCAACACATTTTTTTAATATACAACTCTCAGCACAAGTCAGAATCTGCTTATTTTTCCTTTATGCTCAAACCACAAATCTATAGCACATGACACTAGTTGATTACCATAATTAATGAAGAGTAATCCATCATATCAGTATGTAATTCAGAAGAATTAGAAATTGCTTAAATATTTTTGATTTGTTCTTTTACAGTGTGATAAATAGAAAAGTCCAGACCTAGCATTCAGTTACAACTTTCAAAGCTCGCTCAGAGTTTTTAAGATTTAATTCTTTTTTTCTGAACCCTAAGTTCACTTCTTAAAATCACTGAAGACAGTTTAGTTCCCATCGTTATATTACAGTTTTTAATCATAAATACCGTTGGAACTGAAGGCCAGCCATTTTGGGTCATCTAGTCTAGCCTTCTGCATCAGGCAGCATGAAACCCTAAGAGAGAGAGAGATAAGGTCTTTCCTAACCTGTATATTCCATAGACTTATCTATTCTCATTTTGAGCACCTCTGCTTAATTTACCATTACAGACAAACTGTTATCCAATTACCTGAATCATCAGAGAGGTTTTGCTGTTGTTGTTTAATTTGAAATTCTATTTGTCCTTTACTTTAAGCTACTGCTACTTGTTTTAATACTAGTGTCCAATCTAAATAATTGTGTCCATATTGGGCCAGATAACAAAAGGAACATGGGAGAAAATTCTGGGGAATGAAGTCACAATGCAGATATGCAGATCCCCTCATAAAGATATCCCTGCATTATTCAGGGGAAAGACAGTCAGTTGGTTCCTTTCAAGAAGGTCAAGCAAGCACCATAGGACCAGAAGAGGGGCTAATGTGCACTCTCTGCCCCCCTCCCCTTAGCATGGGCCCTGTGGAACAACCTATGTGGGGCCTGAAGCAGCAGGGTGTGTGTGGAGAGTAGAAGGAGGATACCATCTGAGCCGATATCCCTTTCCCAGTGCAGATCTCAAGGGGACAATCTAGGAAAATCCAGAGGGACAGCTACCATCTTGGTTGGTGGTAGATATTAAACGTGGGACTTTCAGAGACTTTATAGCTTGAACTGAAAAGCGAGGCTCTCAAGCTAAGAGTTGCAATAGATCCATAGCCTCTCAGGATTGGGCACAGAAGGTGACACATAACACACACTGACCATAAGCTCCATTAGCATTATAAATAAATTTATAGTGAATATCTTGTTTCTCAAGGCTAACTAAAATCAATTTCCTTAACTTTACTTAAATTACTATGCATTCTCCAGTTCCCCTTTTCCATTTTCCTTTCCCTTTTATGAACTTTTTCTAACTATTTGGTCCAGTTTTTTTAAGTCAGTGGTTCTCAAACGTCATTGCACCACGACCCCCTTCTGACAACAACAATTACTACATGATCCCGGGGGGCGAAACCCAAGCCCTGCTGCCCTAGACAGGGGGGCCGAAGCCCTGCTGTCCCGGGCTGAAGCCTGAGCCCCGCCACCCAGGGCTGAAGCCCTTGGACTTTGGCCCCGGGTCGGTGGGGCTCAGGCTTCAGCCCCAGGCTCCAGCAAGTCTAATGCCAGCCCGGGCAACCCCATTAAAAGGGGGGTCCCAACCCCCAGTTTGAGAACCGCTAGAAGTGAAGGTAAAAAAACTGTGTACGTTATTCCAGGGAAGAAGGACTTATCAGTATTGTGTAACTAACACGTTCATCTCTCATCTTGCAAGTTATTTGTGGGGCTTTTTTAGGATTCCTGTGCTTCTGTTGTGAAGATCAACCATGCAACTCAATTACAGGAAGAAACAAAGCCACGGCATTGCAGAATTTCAAAATGCAGGACAAAGACAATTTCTTTTAAATAAACTGCAATTACTCAGACAAGTATTATACAGCAGGATGCATAAATAATTAAAAGCTCACTAAGCCTTTGTTTTAGAGTGGAAAGGTTAGGGCTTTACATTTCAAAAGACACTATGGAGCTTTCTTTTCCAGATGAAAAACTGGCTCCAGTTCAAATTGGAATAAACATTTTAATAATATGACTTCACTAAAAGGGAGGGAGAGGGAGAAGCCTTGTGAAAACTTCCATTTGCAAAACAAAGTGAACCCGCCTGCAACTGAAATCCCCTTTTATTTCCTGTACAGGTGCCAGGGCTTGAACAGACACCCAATTTATTACCCTGTCAACTGACTTATTAGGGTTGACACAAATCGAGCTGAAATATGCCTGACATACTACAGTCAAGGCTTTTTTCACACTTTAGCACAAAGCCAAACTTTTCACAAGGTGGAGGGAAGGGGAGAGGGAGTCATGGGAGTTCTATTCCCTGTTTTCTATCAGCAAGATGAATATGATTCTCTCCCATTCTTAATATGCGAAAACCAGTCATGAAATAACCCAAGGCTAAAAACAATTCACCAAAACGATACAGCTGGGAAATCACCATCAGACTCTGGAAAGCCCTTGATTACAGGAAATAGCACCCTACATTTTCAAAAAAATATTCCCACTAGATCCTGAATCTGAACCAAAACCTCTTCTCCAATATGATTTTATTCTCTGGAATTTTAGCCTAAATAATCCAAATTCCCAATTCTCCTCAAAGGAAAAAAAATGTTATTACAAAGCAAAACAAAGTAAAATATGTGGCAAGTCTGAGTACTCATACAGATCTTCTATTTTATATTTGTTTTCCAGCCTGACCTCCATTCTCCCACACCTATTCCTGTCAGACTTCACTCTCTCAAACTGTTAATTTAATATATTAATATTAATTTATTTTAGAAAAAGAGGGAATAAAAAACAATAGTATATAAACTTTGGGGGAATAAGAAATAAAAGGTTCTCATGATCTCTTATTATTAT